AATCGTCTGGTGGCCATATTTAAAATGGGGGGGGGGAAAAATAAAAAAAAACAGACGTTAATATTTCCCCCCCCCACTTAATACGCAAAAATATATAAATTTTTTTTTTTTTTTTTTTTTCTACCAAGAGTTAAAAGTCAATTTAATAATAATAATGATAAATTTTTTTTTGTTTCCAAAACATTAAATTCAAAGCTCTGGGAAAAAAAAAAAAAAAAAAAATTATTTTCGATTCGTTCGTTCGTCAAATCCATTTAAAAAGGAGGGGGGGGATCGTGTTTTAAAACTTGAGTGAGTGGGTGAGTGGGTGGATGGGTGGGTGGATTCAGTCAAACACGTGTACGCACATATTTTAAAACAATAAATTATAAATAAATAAATAAATAAATAAAAAAAAAAGATGAGATGATAATTTATTTGCTTTTAAAACGTTTTTTTAATTACTCGATCGTTAATTGCTTTTCGCGCATAAATTATGTTAATTTTAATACATCGTTAAAAAATTGATTATTTATACATTTGCTAAAGATGTTTAACGATCGGTTAATCGTTAACATCTTCCAAGTTTGTTTGTTTGTTTGTTTGTTTGTTATTATTTTTTCGACTTGGAAACTCGGTTGGTGCGGAAAGAAAAAAAAAAATAGGTCAAAAGCAAAATCGAGACTGGAATGCGATGATGATGATGATAATATAAAGATGGTGGGGGGGAAAGCATTCAATTTAAAAAATTTTTTTGTACGTTTTATGTATGTACATTATTATGTACGTACACTGACGCCATCGTAATTATGAATTAATGAATTTATTATGGAGTCGTAAAATTTAAATTTCTATGGAATTTGTACGTATATAAATAATTCGGTTTATTCCAAAATTTTCGTTAAGGAAATAAAAAATATGTATGTAAATATTTATAAAATCGTCGTGTCGCTAGAAACGAATGACAACAACCGTGTTGATAAAAAAAAAAAAAAAAATGAAATTCGTTGAGAGGGAATAGAGGGCGGTGAAAAAAGGGAAAAAAATTACAAAACGTCTTAAATAATTATTATAAAACAAAAACAAAAAGTTTTAAAAGCTATTGTTTGGTAACTTGATTTAAAAATTTACTAAATCGAGTTTTGTTGCGTTATTATTATTTAATTTTAACAGACAGATTTTTCTTTTCTTCCCCTCACCCCCACCTCCACTCCCCCATTTTCATTAATAATGATTTTATATATATATATGAAAATTGAAAATGCGTTTTTGTTTTTATATGACGTCATTTACTCAATCGTTTCATATGTAAAATAAATAATAAATAAATAAATAATAATAATAATAATAAATAAATAATATGTAAAAATAAATAAATAAATAAAAATTTGTCGAAATTGTTGTAGTCACCCGTAAAAATTATTTATTTATTTATTTATTATTTAAATTTATCGAATTGTAATGATAATAATAATAATAATAATAATTAATTTTTTTATTAATGCCGGTGAAAAATATTTTTTTGTTAATCGGATTTTTCACAAAAGGTCAAAATTCGATGGGAAAAACATGAAAAACGTAAAGAAAAATTTTTTCGTTACGATTTTCCGGGTTATCGTTATTTGACAAAATATCGATCGTTATGCGACGTGATGTTTTCTTTTTTTTTCTCCCCCTCCCTCCCTCCCCCCTCCTTTTTTTTATTACATCATGAAATATCTGTCGTCCTATTTTCCTGCATTTTTTTTTTTTTTTTTTTTTTTTAAACGAAAACTTTTCCATTAATTTTTTTTTTTTTTAAAATGGAGAGGAAAAAGGAAAAGAAAAATTCGCGTGATAATTAAATTTTTAAAAAACCGTTTCGATGATGGTCGCTTCAAAATCGGAATCGTCATTAAAAAAAATACAAAAAAAAAGGAAATTAATTATTGATTGAAAAAAAATTAATCGATGATAATCGATTATCGATTTCCTACGTCGCACGAACAAAAAAAAAAAATGAATTATCGTTTGTTATTATTATTTGTGGTCATGATGATAATTTTATGAAAAGAATGAAATTTTATTTTAATTAATTAATTAATTAATTAATAAATAAATAAATAAAATTTTCGATTCATTTTTTTTCTATTTACGTCAGATTCAATTGTTATTCGTCACGTGGTTAAAACGATTTATTTGAATCAATAAGAAAATCCATTCATTGCGTGTGTGTGTGTGTGTGTGATGAAAAGATGAAGGGAGGGGGTGGGGTGGAGTGGAAAATTTTATTTTATTTTGCGACCCTTTTGAAAAAGGTTAAAAAAAAAGGTTTAAGGTACTGTTGCGATGATAAAATATTTTTGACCGTCGCGTTTAAATGAGCCGATTGTTTTTGATTTCGTTTTTTTCGAACTTTTCCCCCCCTTGCACCCCCCCCTTCCTCCGCCGCCTATCCTCCCCTTCAATTTATTTTATTTTTTACGAATTTTTAAAAATCGCGAGTCATATTAAAAATACAATTATTTTATACATTTTCGATTATCATTATCATTATTATTATTATACGTTGTTTCTCGCAGGTGAGTTCGTTGAATTGAACGTCAGAGGTCATTGACCTATATATATATATATACTACCCTTATCATTCAACCGTTTGTACGTAAAAAAAAAATTTATTTTATTGATCCGAATTAAATGATGATGTCAAACAATAAAATGGCCAATTTTATTGAATTTAAAATTTTTCCCCCCCTTCCCCCTCCCTCCCCATTTTTTTTTAATTAAATTCGTTTTAATTAAATTTATTTCCAATAACCGGAAGTAGGGAAAAGATATTTAAAAAAAAAAAAAAAAAAAAAAGGATAAAAGGAATTCAATATGAATGAAAAGATGATGAGTGTGAGTGAATTTTGAAAAATGTCAAATACTTACCCGAATTTTAAAATAAAAGAAAATTTTTTTTTTTTTACATAAATCGATTCACTTTTTTGAAAATTTAATAATAAACTAAACGATTCGAGAAAAAAATAATAATAATAATAAATAAAAACCGTTACTGTTTTTTTTTTTTTAATTTTTAAAACAATACTAACGAATGATATTTTTTTATTATTGTTATTATTATTTAATAATTTTCACGAATTTTGTTTTCGAGAAAAAAAAAAAACCGTAACGAAACGTACGCGAAAAAGAAAAATTTAATTTTTTATTTTATTTTTTTTACTACAAAAAAAACTGCGTGAGAATATTTTATATTCACGATCGAAATTGTTTTCTCTCTGTATATCGAATTAGTTATTCGTTAATAACGATTTCCCGCGATGCTCCACGGCGCAATGGAGTTACTCACTGAAAATATAAAACCACGGGATTTTAGAGAGAGAGAGAGAGAGAGAGAGACGCGTAAAAAAAAAAAAAGTCTGAAAGCACTTGTGAGGGTGTCCAAAAAAAAAAAAGAAACACATCCCCGTCGGAAACGGATTTTCCACACCATACGCGATTTTTACTTTCTCGTGCCACGTTGTTGTTGTTGTTTTTCTCTCTCTCTCTTTCTCTCTATCTATTCTCCATTTATTGCCACCTTTTTCTTTTCTTTTTTTTTTTCTGTTTCTGTCTCAATATTATCGTTTCGTTTTGATTTTTTACTTTTCTGTTTGTGAAAAATAATTGTCGAGTTTTATGAAAAAACAAATGGAGAAACTTTTCCTGTCGCGAATGAAAAACTTTTCTGTTGTGAATTTCGAGAGAATGATGAAAATGACGATGTTTGTGAAAAACGACGATCGAAAATTTTTTCGTAAAAACACTGCGGCGCGTATTATTATCGTATCGTACAAACGGTCAATTTATATTAAAACTTCAGTCGAAAGCTTTTTCAAAATTATGAGAAATGTTAAATGAGTATGTTTTCGTATACGATATGTATTACGCAACGCGTTTAATTTAAAATTTCGGGGAGAGGAAGAAAAGCTTACGTTTTCACCGTCTTCGATTAATCGTTTGTTCGTTTCGTCCGCCATTTTCTTTTTTTTTTTTTTTTTCTTTCATTTTTTTCGTGACGATAAACATTTATTATTATTATTATTATTTGAATTCTAGTTTTTTTTATTTCGTTTATAATGTTAATAAAAAAACGTAAAAATTTTTTTTTTTCCATAAAAATTCGAACGAAAAAATTAAATTCAGGGAAATGGAAAAAAAAAAAAATTTTCTTTATAATTTTGAATTTTTCCCAAAAAGGATAATCCCGATTGAAGTCGTATTGAAATCGTAATTAAATATTAATACGAGCTGGTGGATTCATTTTGAATATTTTTAGTGATTAATGGGGGGGGGGGGGGAATTTCATATAAAGTTTTAGTCTCGATTTGAAAATTTATCAGATTTCATATCATTTAAAAAATTTTATGATAGAAAACTGTAGTCTGATTATTACAATGAATGCAATAATAATGATAATCAAAACTGTTTTTATAATTACCACACATTAGGAATTCAAATAATAATAATAATAATCGAAATATAAAATATTGTTCGACTTGTAAAAAAATATTTTTGAGGAAAAAATAACAATAGAAATTATTTAAATCGAATATTTGATCACTTTTGGAACACATTTTGGAAAACTTGGAGTGCATGAAACATTTAAGTTATCGAAAAGTAATTGTAAATTGACAGTCATATATTTTATAAACATTATTAAACATAAAAGCAGACGATGTTTAAAAATAGATTTTGTATTTATGTAAATATATATTTGCGTGCGTGGGTGGGTATTTGTACAAATGCTTAACGGATAAACGTCACACTTGTTTTAAAAAAACAATAATAATAATAATTACTAATAATTCTTATGTACTAATGTAGTTTAGTTATCTGTCGATGAATTCATCTCCAAAATCTGTATTTCATTGAATTGAATTTTGTCATTGTGTCATCATCGAGTGCATAATTTAAATCTTTTGCCGGTAAACCTGTAGCACCAAATTCCAAATTATGTCTATATTTGTCACCATATTTATTATCTACCAGCCTTTGTAAGGAAAGTAATTTTTGTTCGAAATCAGCCTGAAAAAAATTTTATTTTATTTTATTTTTTTTTTTTTACATATATAAGGAAATTTGAGGATAAAAATTTTTTGCGTTTGGGTTTTGTCAAATAACAAAACAAATGAATTTATTACCGAATTTAATAAAACGTCACTTTCGTTACTTATCAACAATTTAATTTTCGAACGAAGATGTTCCCCAAAATCTCTGCCAATCCTTTTTGAATTCGGCGGCCATTTTTGTAATATTTTCACTAATTTGTCATAATTAGATGGCATTTGAATTTATTATTTTTTTTTTTTTTTTTTTGTTTTGTTTTGTCTCTCAATTGTCCAGATTTAAATCTGGTTATAAATAAAAAATTAGATTTTAAAATAATAGCAGAAGACATCTAATTCCACGATTATTTTAAACATGCGTTTTTCGAACACACTTCTTTATCAAAGTTCATTATTTTTCCGTCTGAGAAAAAAATTTTTTTTTTTTTTTTTTTTTTTTTGTACGATTTGAAAAAAAATTTAATTTTTTTTCATAAATCGGGGAAAAAATTTTTTTTTTTTATGTACAGATAATATTCGAAAATTTTGTGAAGGTAATATTGTAAGGGAATTTTTAATAAAAAAAATTAAAAAAATTTGTGAAAAAAAAAATTTTTTTGAAATAAATTTAAATAAATAACCGGGGATAGCGCTAGTCACGGGGTCCGGAATTACCCACAATTCTGTAAGTCTCCCACCCAGAAAGTACAGTGCAACTATTTTCTTTTAAAAAAAAAAAAAAAAAAATAAGGAAAAGTGAGTTAAATGTGATTTAAAACGTTTTACAAAATTGTTATGTAAAAAAAAAAAAAAAAAAAATCAATTATTAATTAAATGGATAAAAAAGAGAAACGAACTCTAAAAAAAAAGCTAAAAGCTTTAAAATGTGTGTATTACTAAATAATAATAATATAATTTATTAAAAATATTGATAAGTTAAGGGGCCGAAATAAATAGGCCTAGTTGTAGTGTGTGAATTTTGGGTACCTACATTTTCAAATGCAATGGGTTGTTTTGGCAGTGCAAATGCCAAGCAAGATGCTGATGAGTATAAAAAGGGAAAAGAGAGGAGTAAGGAAATAGAACGTCAAATAAATAAGGATAAACAAGTGTACAGAGCGACACATAAACTATTACTCTTAGGTAATAAATATACTCTCTATTTTATTTTCGTTGATTTATAAATGTCAATTTTTTTTTTTTTTTTTTTTTCGGGGGGCCGCCGCCATTTTGAGTTTTGTTGTGTTGTATTTATTATAACTTGTTTTATTTGATAAATGAAATTGGCGGACGGATTAAACAAAAGGCAAATTATCACATAATTAACTTTCATTTCTCATGAATTGTCAAAAAATTTTTATAAATTTATTAAAACATTTTTTATGAAATTAACGTTTCAGGGTCTTTTCTTTTTTCTCTCCTTTTCAACAATTTATTTTTTAAAAGCAAATAAGTTTAATTTAATTGGGTTAATAATTATTTATTATTTAACTTATTTGTAGTCCTCAATATTTATTTATTGCAATGTGTGAAGAATTTGTTATTTGGTAAAAATTCATTTGATGTTAAATTTTTATTTGATTTTTTACAAGTTTCATCTTATTTATAATAATAATAATCATTATAGAATCCATTAAAATGTTTAATGAAAAACGAGCATTCTATTTCAATAAATAAATAATATTGTTGTGTTGCCATTGAAATTTATTTTACATAATTCTCGCTGTCATAATCATCATTATTCAATTTTATTTTATTTTATTTTATTTTTTTTTTAGGTGCTGGTGAATCGGGAAAAAGTACTATTGTAAAACAAATGAGAATTTTACACGTTCCTGATGGGTTCAGTAAAGAGTAAGTGTGTACATGTAATTTATATTATCATTTGATAATACCTGATTTTCATAAAATAACAACCATCTTATAAATTACTTAAAATGCAATGATTGATTACCTTATCTTTTGATGATTGTGATCATGGCGCAAAATAGTTTTGAAACTAGATATTTATAAAATTTATTTCCACTTTTTATCTCTCGAATTTTAATTTTTTTTTCTTTCCTTTACAGAGAAAAAAGGCAAAAAATAGAAGATATTAAAAAAAATATACGTGATGCTATATTAGTAAGTTGTTTGTCGTTTTGTGAAGTTTGAATGCAATAAATAATAATAATAATAATAATAATAATAATAATAATAATTTTTTATTGAAATTTTTCAGACCATAACTGGTGCGATGAGTACTCTAACGCCTCCCATACCTCTGGAACACCCAGAAAATCAAGTCAGGGTAGATTATATACAGGACGTAGCATCTTCACATGATTTTGACTATCCCCCTGTATGCAGTAAAGAATTATTTACCATTTAATTTGATCTTCTCTCGTGTGAAAATAAGTTGCTGATGTGAATATTTTCATTTTTTTTTTTTTTTTTTTTTTTTTAAAGGAATTTTACGAGCATACAGAAATCCTGTGGAAGGATAAAGGGGTACAAACGTGTTTTGAAAGATCGAACGAATACCAACTCATCGACTGTGCAAAGTAGTGAGTAAACGATTACATTAATTTTTTTTTTCTTTAAGTATTCATCGACTACTAAATATTTACAAATATAAGTAAATATTGTCAAATATTCACCACATGATAATACCTATAATAAATTTTCCAGCTTTTTGGATAGGGTAGAAACTGTAAAGCAACCCAATTACACACCATCCGAACAAGACATTCTCAGATGCCGGGTATTAACGTCTGGGATATTCGAAACGAGGTTTCAGGTTGACAAAGTCAATTTTCAGTAAGACTATTATTATTATTATTATTATTATTATTAATACTCGTTTTATAAAAACGCGTGATTTTAACAAGATTCGACTTTAAAATTTTTTAGCATGTTCGATGTCGGAGGGCAGAGAGACGAAAGGAGAAAATGGATTCAGTGTTTTAATGACGTAACTGCCATTATATTCGTAACAGCTTGTTCATCGTATAACATGGTTCTTAGGGAAGATCCCACACAAAATAGACTAAGGGAAAGTCTAGATCTCTTTAAAAGTATTTGGAATAATAGGTGAGGAGAGTTGAGAAAAAGTAACGTAAAAACAATAAACGATGCAGAAACCCATCATGTTATTTGTTTCCGTTTGTTATTCAGATGGCTGAGAACAATATCGATTATATTATTTTTAAACAAGCAAGACTTGCTAGCGGAAAAAATAAAAGCTGGTAAATCGAAATTAGAAGATTATTTTGCTGATTTTTCCCGGTATCAAACGCCGGGAGATGCCGTACCCGAACCTGGCGACGATTCTCAAGTTATAAGAGCAAAATATTTTATTAGGGATGAATTTTTGGTGAGTTTTCCTTCTGTTTTTTTTTTTTTAATAAGAATAAAAGTAAATATCAATATATATTGCATAAAAAATTTTCCAGCGTATAAGCACAGCTTCCGGTGATGGAAAACATTATTGTTACCCACATTTCACGTGCGCGGTCGATACGGAAAACATTAGACGAGTTTTTAACGACTGCCGGGATATAATTCAGCGAATGCACCTACGTCAGTACGAACTCTTGTGATTGCTCTGTATAAATGATTCACCGATAAAAGTATAAATTTAATGAAAAACGAGAGGAAATGGAAAACAAAACAAAACAAAAACAAAAAACAAAACCAAAAAATCAAAAATCAAATCACAGAATTTAACAGAAAAGCTTATTTTTTATTTTTTAAACGAAAAGGAAAAAAAAGAATCAAAAATTACATATATATATATATATATATTTATATATATAGAAATATGTATGTATATAATTAAGTACATAATTATATATAAATATATATATTATCTTTATATAAAGTAT